TGTTGGACTATGGTTTTATGATCTTCGGTTTCGAATTTACATTTGGAGATGCTTTAATTTAAATGCTTCCATTTAAAAAAATAATAATAATAGGGGATTTTGACAGAGTTTAGAGTATGGTTATCTATATAAATAGGGTGTGACACCCACCATGCCCACCGGGCTTCACCACCGCCAACCTCGCTTCACTCCCCCATACGAATTTGAAAATTAGATCACTTAGGACCTAACAATTTTGGTCAGACAGCTATCCCTGTGCATGCGCCCATGGAGAGTTTTGGACCAGAAATTGAAATGGTTGGGAGGGATAATTGGTTCAATTAGATTCATACTCATTGTCGTTTGGGTTTGTTGATGGTTCGATTGATGCCAATTTGGGTGTTGTAGGATGCATGAATTGAAGGAGAAGAGTTTGGCAAAATGGACGTCGCCATTGTTGAATGTCTAGATTACAGTAGAATGATTTGAGGCAGTTTTGATTGATGTGAGGCCATGTATAGGTTCGTCGAGGTGAGGGGTAACTGTCGGTGGTAGTGTGCCACCATGGGCAGCGTCAAAAGTGGGGTTGCCGTGAAGGGTTGTATACGATGGTTTGGTATTTTAGGTTGCAAATGTGGCTTTTTTTCTACAGATTTTGTGACCAATACTGTGGGAAAGGATGTTTGGGAGAGTGAACCGAGGCTAGTGGTGGTGGAGTCCGGAGAGCGTGATGGCCAGAAGGTGGTGCTATGTGGATCTATAGGTGGCGGCTTGGTAGGGTTGTGAAAGTGGTGGTGATTGAGAATTTAGGACTTAACTGTAATATGTTGAAAAATTTAAGACTGTGATTGCAATTAGCTGTTTATTTTTTCTTTTCTTTTCTTTTTGTTTTATTTGAATAAGAGGATAAAATAGTCTTTTATTGAAAAATGGTTGAAAATGACATTTGCCACAATGACAAGTGGAAGGTAGGGATGAAAATGCCAAAAAATAAAAGGTATCTTGTGATTAATGGCACCAACTTCAAGGAATGGCAAGTAAACGTAATGATTGTTCTCGAAGTCATAGATCTGGACCTTGTTTAACGGGTTGATCAACCTGCTGCACTTACTAATAAGAGTACCTCTAATGACAAGA